TAGTAAGATACATTTTAATTGGGCTTTTTAACAACCTTATTGTATTGTCAGAAAATATAGACTGTCAATTCTCAACTTTTAAAAATGTATCACGATTTCTTTGAAACCACGTTACCAATGAACTTCCACAATGAACTTCCTTCTATGGATATAAGAGAAAAAGTATATTTTGTTTGTATGGTGCAAAGTTCTGTTTATGTATGTTAAATCCAGCATGGTTGTACTTTTCGAATCTTCTTTGTCTTTCCTGATTTTGGTGTTTTGATTTATCATATTCTGGAAGAGATACAATAAAAATCTCTCACTTTAACAATTCGCTTTGTATTTCTATGTGGTTTTTTGCTAGTTTTATTTGTGTGTGTCTGGGGGAGGGAATACATACACCTAATAGTTAATGCATTTTATACTATTTTTTATTTATTGGATACCATTATGATAGGATCCTTTTTTCCAACAAAAAAAAGCACTTTTAACTTTGAATTCCACTTTGATATTTACATTGCCATCCCTGCTTTCCATTCAGTTGCCTTTGGATGCTGTATCTTTGCCCAGAGCTTCATTTTATAATTTTATATTAATATTTATCTCTTTGTTTTAGATGAACTACTTGTAAACAATAGATACCTTTTGTTTGTTCCAAATCTAATCTATAGTCTATTGATAGGAGGATTTTACCTCTTCAGCTTACTGTAGTAACAATTTACCTGATTTTTATGCCTTCCATTTTATGTTTACTATTTAACTCTTTATTTTCTACTTTTTATTTTTATTCTTTTATTGGATTGATGAAGTTTCTGTTCATTGTTTCCGTTCCACACACCCTATAAATTCTGGTTTTTTCCTGAGATAATTAGGAATGTTTTGTCATAGGATGGTGTTAATTTTCTCTATAATAGCCTGCTTATCATATCATCCCATTGTCCTCTTTAATAATGATATATCTTTTGCAGAATTATTGCCAAATAGTATTTTCCTATTTAAGATTTCTCTTCTAATTCATTGTACATTTATTTGGAATGCTCCTTGAAATATTTTCCTTAGATAAAGATAGAGATACTCTGCAAGTGCTTTCACTGTTAACAAGGTCTCTCTGGTGCTAACAGAGTGGTCTTTTAGATGCTATTTCTGTTATTTAGCTTTTATCACTAAGATAAGGATTCTTTTGATTTTTTCATTCTTTGTAAATAATCTGTTCTTTCACGTGTGCTTTAGATTTAGAAGTGTTTTCAATTTTTTTTCTTCTTCCTTTTATTTCATCGTATTATGGGGGTACAAATATTGTTAGGGTTACAAATATTGCCCCTTCCCCCCTCCCTCCCCCCAATGTGCCAGAGATTCAAGCGTGTCCAATCCCCAGGTGGTGTGCACCACACACGTTATGTAAGTATACACCCCTCTCCTCCTCCCCCCTCCTGCCTGCCCACCACCTGATAAAAAGTTTTTTTTTTCTTTTTTGTTTATTTGACATTTTGATTACATTGTATATTTTTGCCTCTCCCTAAGAAGGGTTAAAGTTATGCCCTTCCCCTCCAGAATGCTGGCCACATCCCTAAGATTGGGTCTCTCCCCACCAATCCCTAGTGAACATTGCCACCATTTGAAAACCATAGTTTTAATCAGTCAGTACCAATTTGATTTTCTTCATTCTTTCTTTGTAAATAATCTGTTTTTTCACATGTGCTTTAGATTTAGAAGTGTTTTCAATTTTTAATTTATCCTTAATGTTCAAGGATTTTCCCAGATTTGTACATTGATTGGTTTCCTATTTGTACATGTGGAGAAGTTAGTGTGAAAGGCTAATGGCACAGGCCTGGTTGTATCAGTGGTGGGAGGTGTATCTGGGTGCTTTCTAAGGCCCATGCAGGTACAGGTGTGCCTGAGATTGAGACTCTTGGGATGGCTGATGGAAATGCACGGTAAGTAGTAATACAGGCCTGGAGGCCAGTAACGCAGACACAGAATTGATTGATGAACCATCAGGGTAGAGGTGTTGGAGGTTCCGTGATCAGAGCCTAGAGGATGAGTGACTTGGGGCCCGTCAGCAGCACGAAGTGGGAATCAGTGATTATTCTGAGGCCTGAATAATGGCTTCTAGGGATGGGGTCTGTGTGGCACTTGACATCTGGAGCAGATTGGTGGGAGTAAGGAGTAAGGTGCCAGAGTTGGCAATAACTTGAGGGGCCTGTGAAATCAAATAGCATAATAATGTTATATAACAGTATGTCATTTGGATAAAGTATTTAAGCAATCCATAATTATTGGATATCAAAATGTTTCTAGCCTTTGTTATTAGGCATATTGTAGTAAAACGCCTATATTTAAATCTTTGTGGACTATGGTATGGGATACTTTTTAATGATGTAGTTCTAGAAATAAATATTTGGGTAACAGATGCATGGGCACTAAATGGTGTATATCCATGTGTGACATTGGCACACTTCCTTCTCTCATCTGTACCCTGTACTCATCTGTTTTCTCAGATCTCTGCCGCTTTCCCAAAAGAGCCCAAAATGACCAAGTCCCTGGTGAGTTCTTATTTGTTCATCAATTTATTTGTTGCTTTCGTTTATGTTTTTAGTGAATTTTAGGAGGTATCTAAATCCATGTGGTAAGATGACATGCATAGATAAATAAAAACTAAAATCAGAGAAAATGAAGAAGAGACTATCAATTCCAAGCCAAGTTTGAAATATAGCTGTATATGAGTTATGTGGTCTTACACAATTATGAACTTTGAACTGTAAAATTGTCTCTGAACTTCCTAACAGACATAGCAATAATGGAAATTGGATACATGGTTTACATTATTAACAAGTAGTTTATTTCATCTGTGGTAAAGATTTCCTGGTTCTTGATGTTTGAGAAAATCTTCAGTTGGATGGTGACAGACAGTGTCTTCAACAGCAACCCTGTTCAAAGTGCACTAACAGGTTTTCTAGTGTCATAGAGTAGTGCTTCTCACACTTTACTTGCATATGAATTCAGATTCTAATTTAGTAGGTATGGGATGGGATATAAGAGTTAGCATTCCTCACAAATTCCCACAGAATGTCAATGCTACTTGACATTATTTTTTTGTTCTTTTAGTTTCAGCCTATCTATATTGCTATATTTGCAGTGATTTTCCTGTAGACAGAATATAGTTAGGTGAAGTGTGTTTATCCATTCTGCTAATCTGTCCTTTCATTGGTGTATTTTCATTTGATCACTTTATTTGACATAATGATTGATATGATATGCTTAAATCTGTCATTTTATTTCTTATTTTCTGTTTTTTCCTTAGACATTTGTTTTTGTTTGTTTCTTTTTTCCCTGTGTTTTCCTGTGGATTATTTGAACATATTTTGGAATTCCATTTTGATGTATCTACAGTTTTTTAAGTGTATTTCTTTGTATAGTTTGTTTAATGGTTGCTCTAAGTATTACATTACACATAACTTATCGAAGTCTACTAGTATCTATATTTTATGAGTTTGAGTGAAGTATAGAAATCTTACTTTCTCTTAAGGCCTTGTATGCTTTCTTATTTATAATATAGATGTCTTTAATATTTTCTCTATATGCATTCAGAATCAAGCAATGTTATAATTTGTGCTTCAATTGTTAATGTCATTTAGGAAACTCTAAAGAAAAAGGAAATCTTTTGTATTTACCAATATTTATACTCTTTCCCTTGTTCTTTTCTCCCTGATGTTACAAGACTCTTTGTTTCATCATTTCTGTTTGGTTTCAAGACCTCCTTTAGCCATTCTTATAGGGTAGGTCTGTTAATGACAAATACTAGTTTTTCTTCATCTGAGAATGTCTTGATTTTCCTATGATCTTGAAGAATGTTTTTGCCTGAAAGAAAATTCTAAGTTGACAGTTCTTTTCTTTTAGCACTTCAAAAATGTGCTACTTCCTTCTGGCCTCCAGAGCTGCTGATCTTAATTAAAATTGTGTGTTAGTTTTCTATTGCTGCTGTAACAAATTATCACAAATTTAGTAGTTTAAAATAACACAATTTTTTTTGACAGTTCTATAATTCAGAAGGCCAACATGAGTCTCACTGAACTGAAATCAAGGTGTCAGCAGGGCTGCATTCCTTACTATAGGCTCTAAGAAAAAATCTGTTACTATTTTTTATGCCTTTTCTAGCTTCTAGTGGCTGCACACATTTCTTAGTTTTTTGCCCCTTCCTCCATCTTCAAGGCCATTAATACCGTATCTCTCTGACCACTCCTCCATAGTCACATCTGTTTCTCTGACTCTCTTTTACTGCCTCCTTCTTTAACTTATAAGGACACTTGTGATTATACTAGGCCCACTCAGACAATTCAGGATAATTAATTTCATTATTTGAAGGACAGTTTATCATCAACTTCTATTCCATCTAAAACCTGAATTCCCTTTTGCCATGTAACCTAACATATTCACAGTCTCTGGGAATTAGGATGTGAACATCTTTGGGGAGTCATTGTTCTTTTTATCACACACTGTCATTCAAATATTTTTTCTCCTGTAGGTAATATGTAGTTTCTCTGACTGCTTTAAACATTCTTTCTTTGTCTTTAGTTTTCAGAAGTTTGACTATGATTCTTTATTGGTATGGATTTCTTTAGTTTTATCGTATTTGGGATCTGCTCAACTTCTTGTAAGTGTAGGTCAGAAATTTTCATTCATTATTTCTTCAAATACTTTTTCAGCCCCATTCCTTTCTCTTCTTTTTCTGGAACTCTGATGACACAAATGTTAGATCTTTTGTTATTTTCCCACATGTTCCTGAGGCTCTGTTTATTTATTTATTTATTTATTTTTTTTTCTCAGACTGTTTTCTCTCCATTCTTTCAATTGGATTATTTCTATTTTATTTCCTGGTTCTCTGAATATCCATTATTTTGCCGAACCCATTCATTGAGTTTTTAATATTGGTTATTTTACTTTTTAGTTCCAAAATTTTTCTTTGGTTCTCCTTTATCTCCTATTTGTTTGCTGGAACTTTTTATTTCTTTGTTGAGACTTTTTTTTTCATTTGTTTCAAGTATGTTTATAATTACTTGTTGAAATATTTTTATGAGGGCTTCTTTAAAATCCTTATCAGATAATTCCAATACATGTGTCACCTCAGTTTTAGTATCTGTTGATTGGTTGTTTCTTCATTTAGTTGAGGTTTTCCTGGTTCTTGGTTATACAGATGATTTTTTAATGTATTATAGAAATATTGGGCATTATGTTATGAGACTCTTGATCTTATTTAAGTCTTCTCTTTTAGTAGGTGTCCTCTGGGCCAGTGTGGGAAGGGTGACTCTGCTGTGCTACTGCCAAGTGAGAGTGAATTCCCAGGTTCCCTACTTGAACTTCACTAATACTCTGTCAGGAGAGGAAGGCCTCATTACCACAGGGTAGGGTTGGCAGTTCAGGTTCCCCAGTAGACCTCTGGTGATACCACCTTGTCAGGAAGAGGGAGTGCCTCATTTCTGTTCTCTATATTGTCTTCTCTGACACTGCCAGGTGGGTGGGTGGGGCCTCATTACCTCTCAGAGGGGTGAAAGTCTTGGATTCCCACTTGTCTTCCTCTGACACCATAACTGTGGGGACTGGAGGAGTGTCTCATTACTGCTAGGAATGGAAATCCATCCTCCCCACTTGGTTTTCCCACACTATTCATTTGCAGTGTAGAGAGTACCTCCATATAGCCAGGCAAGAGTAGGAGTCTAGGCTACACACTGAGTCTTTGCTGATGAGCCTTAGTTTGTTGTTGTTTTTTAATCTGTGGTGTTTGGCTAGAGTAGGTTTTGTCTAAAAGTTAGTCTTTGTAGATTGCCCTTTTCCTGGTCTTCTAGGTAGAGAGAGCAGACTTTTCTTTGGACTTTTTTGTGTATATTTGTTGGTGTTTCTGGGTTGTAGGCTTTTAGAGCACTTGGTCAGGGGTTTATGAGGGGAAAAAAATGACTCAGGAACTCACTGCTGTTTAGTTTCTTGGTTCCCAAGGTCCCTAGCCAGTATGCCTTTTCTTCTTTACCTTTCAGAATCTCCTTATGTTTGTTTTGTGAATAATGTCTATGGTTTGTGGATGTACTTAGCAGGATGACTCAGGACAAGTGCATTACTCCATCTTTCCAAGAGTGGAAGTCAGTTCATTGATTTTTATGTAGAGGACTTTGTATGTTAAGTATAGTCTTATATGGTTTTTTTCAATTATAATTACCTCATTGTCCTTTGTATTTTAACTTTTAAAGGTAAATATTTCATTTTGAATATCATGAAAGGTATACCTGTATTTACTGAGTCAAATTGTTCTTTGAGTCTTCTTAGAAAAAGCAGCTGTCATCTGTTCTCTTTACCCTTAAATTCCAGCTTCTTAAAGATAATCACTGTGAACACAGTTTAATTAATTCTTTTAATATTTACTTTCATATATCAAAATAACATGCATATATTGGTACTTTTTGGCTTTTAGTTTTAAGCAGTATCTACTGAGTTAACACAATGAAAAATAAGGAGTTAGCTCTCTTTCAGATACTTAGACCCTCAACATTCCCATACACATTTCTCTTTTACCCTTCTTCTAATATATCATAATTTTGGGTAAATCAATAGGCTGTATTATTATGATTAATTTAGTTATCTTCATAGCTGAGCCATTTACTTGCCTTTTATGCACTGCTTTATGTTTTACCTAGAATTAATAGCTGTCTGGCTTAATCATTTGTTTCATTTTCGATAGATAGATAGATAGATAGATAGATAGATCACTAATTCAACTCCATTCTTACCAAGCATGTAAATAAATATCTTCTTAATATATTAAATAGCAGTAACAATAATCACAAATATTATATGCCATGCACTATGAGCACTCTCTTTATATATATTAACTAATCTAATCACAACTCTTATGGGCTATCTATAATCATTATCCTTATTTTACAAAGGAGAAAACAGGTGCACAAAAACATTAAGTAACTTGCCCAAGATCACACAGCTAGTAAATAATAAACCCAGGCAGTTTGGCTCTAGAATATATGCTATTCAAAGAAACTTCTCTTGGAGTCTTTAACCTGCTCATAGCTGCTCTCTATTTGATACTTAGCTACTGATGTGGGCTCTCCCTTCTACATGATACTATTTGAGAAATTCCCTTTGGAATTTGAGAAATTCCCTTCATGTTTCTCAAATGTTGGATCTCTTTGTTTTCTAGCTTCTTCTTGATTATATTTTCATTTTTAGAGCATATTGTCCAGTAGCTTTCTAGAAAGCATGTGTGAGAAGTAAATTTTTTGAGACATTGCATGTCTGGAAATATTGTTATTTTACCCTCACTAACTGCATAGCTTGATTGGTTGTATAATTCTGGTTTGTAAATCATTTTTACTCAGAATTCTTAAGCCATTTTTTTTTCACTTGTAGTATCCTATATGCACATTTCTCTGCCTTCTCTTACTGAATGTGATAGGAAGAATAATAGCCCAATGGTATCTACATCCTAATCCCTGGGAATGTATGAATATGTTACTTCACATGGCAAAAAGGTTTCTCAGATGTTCTTAAGTTAAGGAGCTGGGAAGATTAGCCTGTATCTAATGTAATCACAAGGGTTATAAGTGAGAGAAGGAGGCCAGAGAATTAGAGTTCTCTAGGAAGAGATTCGAAGATGCTACTCTACTGGCTTTGAAGATAGAGGAAGGGGCTATGAGCCTTAACAAGACTGGATAAGGTAAGGAAATGGATTCTTCTGTAGAGCCTCCAGAAGGAATGTAGCCCTACCAGCATCTCGGTTTTAGCCTAGTAGGACTCATTTTGGACATGTGACCTCCAGAATTGTGAACATAATAAATTTGAGTAGTTTTAAAGCCAAAAAATGCAGGTGTCCTCTAGAAGCTGGAAGAATCAAAGAAAGGGATTTTCCCCTACATTTTCCAGAAGGAATGCAGCCCTACTGACTCCTAGATTTTAGTCCAAGTACAAAGCATTTAGTAATCTTCAAGACCACCCTGATTTATGATACAAATTGCAAGCTCAGGAGTCCCCAAGACCACCTCAGTTTCAATAATTCACTAGAACTCAGAAAAGCCACTATGCTCATGTTTACAGTTTATTACAGTGAAAGGATGTGGATTAAAATCAGCCAAGGAAAGAGGTGCTTAGTGCAAGGTCAGGGAGAGTGCCAGTTGTGAACTTCCAGTGGTCCTCTCCCAGTGGAGTCATGTAGACAGCACTTACTTCTCCCAGCAATGATGTGTGACTGTGTGCATGGAGTATTGCCAGCCAGGGGCGCTCCCCTGAGCCTTGTGGCCAGAGTTTTTACTGAGGCTTGATCATGTGGACATGATTGACTGAGCATATTAGTTCAGTACTTCTTCTGCTAATTATAGTTATTCTTAAAACAAGCACTGGACTGCCACAAGCTACTGCATCTCATGTGGAAATGGCAGTGCCTAAATAGAGCACTCGCCTTCATATATCAGGCAGTTTATCCATTGAAAGTATATATTTCATTGATTGTTAGTATATTTACCAAGTTGCTCTATTGTCATTATAATCAATTTTAGACATTTTCTTTACCATTTTGATGGGTTTGAGGTGCTATCTTGTAGTTTTTATTTGCATTTCCCTAGTGATTTGTGATGTTGAACATCATCTCATGCTTATTGACTGTATGTCATCTTTGGAGAAATATGTCTATTCAAGCCCTTTGACCATTTTTTACTTGTTATTTGGTTTTGTTTTTTTAATTATTTTTGAGTTGTAGAAGTTCTTTATAGTATAATATATTGTATCATATTAAAAATAAGGTCCTAAATATCTTGTTTCCATCCCACAATCTATATCCTTCACATTGAATAGGAATTTATTTTTACAGGGATTAGTGTCATTCAAGGATGTAACTATAGACTTCAGCAGGGAGGAGTGGCAGCAATTGGACCTTGCTCAGAAAAGCCTATACAGGGATGTGACACTGGAAAACTATTTCAACTTGATCTCAGTGGGTAAGCACAGCTCTGCCGGGTATCTAACAGTCTGTACCTAATCGAGTATGTTTTGTTTCTCAGTAGAATTTCTGAAATCTGGTTTTTCTGAGGTATATGGAACTTCTAAAGACTGCAGGACATCTGAAGTATGTAATGGTTTTGTCCATATTGTGTCCCATGTTTTTAATAACCTCTTTTGGGTGTTGTGAATATACCTCTGTTTCCAGTGAACTTTTCTAGAAAGCAAATGGAATGCTTTAGTGTATGGGCTGTGAAACCAAGTCCTCTATCATTTCCCATTAATAGGATGTCAAGTTCCCAAACCAGAAGTTATCTTCAACTTGGAGCAAGGAGAGGAGCCGTGTGTGTTGGACGGTGGGCTCTCCTGTCAGAGCTATTCAGGTGAGCAGGGCACAAGAGCATGCCAGGCAGTACAGCTCAGCTGCAGCTGCACTGACAGAGGCTGGCAACTTTGAGGTGCCATTAATATGAGTTTCCTGGTATATTTCTGTACTTTGAGAACTGCTTGCATGAACTTGATATGGCACCAGGGATATCTAAATGCTGTCCCTGCTTATGGCCTCTTCTCATATCAGTGCCTTGTTCTTTATTTGACTTTTTAGGAGGGAATATGTTACAATAACTGGTACTTTGGATCACATCTTACCCTGCATCTTCTAGGATCCTGCTTTCTTGCTTCTTTTTTTTTTTTTTTTCTGTTTTCTTAATAAAGAATTTTTATTCTTTCGACCTCCATCAAGGTCTTAAATCCTTTTCTTAATCATTCAAATATTTATAGATCTGCTTTCTTTAAAAATTACTGTAGATCACACTTGGCTCCTACTGTTTTCTTCTCATTTTCTCTCTTTTTCTTCAGTGCTTTAGAATTCTCATCTAGAGATGGGCTTATTTTGTCATCTCCCCATGCTTCTTTTCTAACTGTTGACTCTGAGGTTACCATTGACGTTTTCTTCCTATTTGGCTAGTGCAACACAACACTGACTTGATCTTTCTATCTAATTTATTTGTTTTGATATTTTACAAAAAGTTTTTGTACCTCATGTGCAGTGGATTGAGTTTGTAGTCAATATTGTCATCCATGTGTTAAAGCCCCCCCTCTTATGTTACTTATTCATTTTAATTCCACTCTCCATACTTGTTTTTATTCTCCCCAAAGGCAACTGCTCTAATATATTTGACATGTTTGCCATCTATCCTTGAATTTGTGGTTTATTTGTAAAGTCTAAATTTTTGGTATTTTTAATTTATAGAAATGCTACTGTCTTATATATCCTACTCAGTTTCTTTCCTTTTCTTTTTTCTTTTCTTTTTTTTTTTTTTTCAAATTGGTCCATGTTGCAATGTGTTTTTCTAGTCCATTGCTTCTGATTGTTGTACAGCTTTCTGCAGTATGCATACATACCACTTTACTTGTCCAGTTTTTCAGCTACTACGAACAGTACTGCAATAAATTTCTTCATGAACTATTCTTATGAGAAATGAAAATTTCTTGGGGAAGACTAGTGGGATTGCTTTATCATTGGATTCACTGATACTTAATATGACTAAGTATAACCACGTTATTTTCTAGATTGGGTATGTCATTTGACAATCTCTTGTACATTGCACAAGGGTATTAGTTCGCCACATCCCTGCACATACTTATTGTTATCCAGATTTCTAAGAATTTGGCTAATCTAATGAGTTTTAATTTCTAATTATTGTTTTAACTTGCGTTTCTCTAATTACAGAATATTTTGTATAGCTTATTCTGTATCCTTCATTTTTTATGTTTGATTGCTGATATCTTCTAAGCCCCACCCTTCTCTCTTCCTTCTCTGCCCCACATTTGGAAAAACTGATAAGAAAGCCCAAGTGTTCTCTCCCTTGGCACTGAGGGGAATTTGAACCACATGTGGGAACAGTCAGCCCAGCCCCATCCCTCAATCACCATAAACACCCCTCCCTGCCCTTGCTCTCTCCCCCAAAAGCGTTTTCATACCCTCCTATTGTGTGTGTCCCATCATCATTCTTACATCTGAACCAAGTTTGGGATAGGATCCATTTCTCCTCTGCAGGTGACTTACAGCTGGGGCAGTGAGCAGGATGTCCAGACAACCACCCACTTAGGGGTCTTTCTCTTTTTCCTGACTGGCTCTACTACCTACTGGAGAGCATGGACTTAGCCTCTGTCCTATCTGTATCCAACCTATGTAAGAAATTATAATTGATATTTAGTACAGATGTAAGGGACTGGGACCCTCCTTAAAGTTACCCGGGCCATTTGTCTCAGCCTGGACCTATCTATGTCTCAGATTGAATTATGTGTCTCAGTTCTGGTATAAGCTATGACTGGTGGTTGGCTCATGGGAACAACTTTTACTCTGCAACTGTTGGTTATATGTCTCAGCCAGGCATTGGCCCCATTGTATAGAGCTCTCAGGAGAAAGCCCAATGCCTTATGCATGTAAGAGATCACTAAGTGGCTGCTTATATGAAGGAAGACAAGTTACAATGCAGCATGCTAAAAGCAGGTGGTGCACCTTTCGAAATTTTGTCACATACTATTGTGGACTTTTCCATGTGATCCATCTTCTAACAATTCATTCTGCTCTTCTGCTAATTTTTCTCTTTTAGGAAATACCATTTAGGTACCTTCCTCTTCTTACTTCTCAGTGATATCACTTAAAGCCATGTCTATATTTTCTCATGCCTGGATTATTCTAACCCTATTTGGATATGATGATCCCATTTTTTTAACAGTTCATCTTAGATGTTATTGGTAGATTTTATTACTTAAAACATTGTGTACTACATTTATCCTGTCATAGCTATATGGAGCAAAACTAAAGTTACTACTCATTATCTAACATGAGACAAATTCTTCTCTCAGTGGGTTTGTAAGCTAAAGAAAGAACATGGTCTCATCTTTATAATCCACATTTCTCCCTATTTAGTTTCTATAACCATGTCTACTGCATTTAACATTTTCTTTAATGTTCCCACTGCATCTGATTATTTTGTGATCTATCTGCCCTTCAAATACTTCACTTATACTTTGTGCTCAGGTTTCACTTGCTCCTTATATTGGACCTATTACAGCCTATGTTGCTTTTGCCTTTTCTAATTCTCCAACTCACAGAAATTCAGAGAAAACTACATTAAATTATACATTTGAGTCTTTTACCCTTGTACCTTTTTAAAAAGATATTCTTTTTTTTAAATTGTTACAATTATTATGGTTACATAATAGTTATATATATTTATAGATGTTCTTTTTTATGGTACCATCAAGAAACTGTTTAATCTTTTCTGTTTTTTTTTTTTTTTTTTTTTGAGACAGAGTCTCGCTTTCTTGCCCAGGCTAGAGTGAGTGCCGTGGCGTCATCCTAGCTCACAGCAACCTCAAACTCCTGGGCTCAAGCGATCCTCCTGCCTCAGCCTCCCGAGTAGCTGGGACTACAGGCACGAGCCACCATGCCTGGCTGATTTTTATATTATATATATTAGTTGGCCAATTAATTTCTTTCTATTTTTATGGTAGAGACGGGGTCTCGCTCAGGCTGGTTTTGAACTCCTGACCTTGAGCAATCCGCCCGCCTCGGCCTCCCAGAGTGCTAGGATTACAGGCGTGAGCCACCGCGCCCGGCCTATCTTTTCTGTTTTATAGAGATAAGGTCTTACTCTGTTGTCCAGACTAGAGTGCAATGGCATCTTTATAGCTTTCTGCAGCCTCAAAGTCTGAGGCTGAAGCAATCCTCCTGCCTCAGCCTCTCAGATAGCTGGGACTACATGCACACACCACCATACCTGGCTTATATTTTTATTTTTTGTAGAGATGGGGTTTCACTATGTTGTCTAGGTTTGTCTTGAACTCCTGGCCTCAAGTGATCCTCCCATCTCAGCCTCCCAAAGTGCTGGGATTACAGGCATGAGCCACCATTCCCAGCCTACCTTTGCACTTTCAAAAAACATTTTTGTAGAAAATATTTAGTAAAATTAAATTCTTGAATTTATGTTATGGCAGAGAAGGTTGGTTTGCTCTATTTCAGAAGGATTTTAAAATTTTTCTTCTAGGAGCAATTCAAAGGGCCAAAGATAGTAATTGGAAAGAGAAGATAACTGCATGAGAACTTAAAAATTTTAAACTTTGTGCATTTTGAATTTGTTAATACTCCCATCTATGTCAATTTAAGTATAAATATAAATGGTTCAGAATATCTATTTGTTTGTTATTAAATTAAAAAAAAAGAGAAACTCCCTAGAGTTGTGGTAAGATTTGAGATACTTTTAAAGCAGGAACCCCTAAATGATCCATGAAGAACGTTGAGTTTTGAATAGAAACAGAGGAACAGAAAAAGGAAGTTTAAATGGGGAAAATGAAAAGACTGTTTGGATTCGGTAATAAAATAGACTTTAGTGACTACTGGAAAGATAGCTTGCATACACACGTTTTATTGGCCTGACATATGACTCCTTTTTATTGAATGTACTCATTGAATCAGTGGTGACAGGGGAATTATATGTAAAAAAAGCTTTTAAAGAGGAGCAAAGTGTTTACATTGAACCTTATAGCCAGTAAAGCAAATGTTTTCAGATGTAGCAATGAGTTTGTAAAGCTAAAGAAAGTAAAAAGTTGCAAAAGAAAAGTCCATGTTTAGAATTCAGTATTAGATGTCCTCAGAATTAATGAAAGCCATTAATATATGTGAGTAAAAGTAATATTACAGCTAAAGTGTATGTTTGGGGACACGACAAGACCCTAGAGACAGAATTAAATGGATATGAAGTCAGACTATGTCTATATTCAAGAACTCTATTAAGATAAGATGATAGTATAATTGAATTTTTACGCAAATATTCACTGATAATCTGCTATGTTTTGTACACTATTCCAGAATTTGGAATATTAGTAACTACCATTCTGGGCAGTAAGAATATATTAAAGTAAAACCAAACTCCTGTAACTAAGAGACCCCAATAAACAGTGACTTAAAGAATATAAACATTGACTGCTTACATGACAGTTCCAAGATGAGTGAATGGCCCAAGTCTGCCAGGCAACTCTGTTTCCAATCGCCTTTCAGGGACAAAGTTTCTAGAAAGTCATTGCATCACCATCCTCTAGATCAAGGGTTGGCAAATATTTTCTGTAAAGGCCCAAAAATAATTATTTTAGACTTTGTGGTCCATATAGTTGGTGTCATAACTACTCATTTTTGCTATTGTAGCCCTAAAGCAGCTATAGACAATATATCAATGAGTGGGTGTGGCTGTGTTCCAATAAAAACTTATGGGACACAAAAATTTGAATTTCATCTAATTTTTACATATCATAAAGTATTATTATTATTTAGATTTTGATATTTTTGACCACTTAAAAATGTAAAACCCATTCTTAGCTTTTGGGTAGAGGCCTGGATTTGACCTGAGGGCTGTAATTTTCTGACCCCTGCCCTAAGGCTTTGCCAGCTACATAGAGCTGAGTGTTAACCAGTTGGAAAGTACTGGTAGAAAGAGAAGATGCTTGTGGGAGATATATCCACTTCCTTAAGGCATTGGTCTTGTCACAACAAATGTGATTTTTACTTTCATTTGATTTGTGAGAACTGAGTTACTTGGTCCCACCTTGTGATAAATGAGGCTGCACAAACCTAATGTCCTCAGGCAGCCATGTAGTTGGCTACATGCTTAATATTGTGAAGGAAGGGCACAGATTTTGATGGACAACTTTCAGTCTCAGCCTCAGATGACTGGTCATTTCTCCTGTTATGTTTCCTGTTAGATGTGTGTATCCCTGTACCCCAAACCAGGGAAAAAAATTGAATCAAAGAAATCCATTTTATTATTTGGCCAAGTCAAGAGGACTGAGGCTATAATAGTTTTACTATAAACATAAATAAATTGGTATTTAGGGCACAGTGGATAATAGGGAAAAGAGAAAGCAGGGAGATTAGTAAGGTTTTGCAGATTAAAGATAATAAGAATCTAGATTCAGAAATACTTCTTTTAAGCCATTTGTCACTTTGTTCTTTTGACACTTATCATGACACTTTGCTTCATGATATAGATTTACCACATTTGCTTGGGTTGGAATATCTTCTTTCCCTAATTACTAAAAATTTAATTTGGGCAAATTGCTGAACTCTTCTGCAGCTCAGTTTCCTCATCTGTAAAATAGAGACAATAATAATAGCAAATGGTTGTGATAAAGTTTACCTGAATTAATATAGAACTTACAACAGCACATCTAAATGCTAATCTTTATCTCATGGTAAATGTAAGTATTAATTATATTACTATATATTATTGATTGTATATTATATATTAATAGATTACTAAACCTATATATTTATGTATGTTTTACATGTTTATGTATATTTGTTATATTTATATACTACCTCTCCCATTTCTTTGTGTTTGCCCTGAACTCTATTATCAATCCTGTTTCTTGTTAATTGATCTTTATGTCAGTTTTCTCTTTTCTTTCCTTTTTAGATGGGGATATTGGTTTTAAACTTTCACAACAAGAAATGTCTGAAGATGTTTCTTTCCAGTCTGAGAGAATTAATCTCTTCACAAGAAAAGATCCATATTCCATTTTAAAAGAATTGTTGAAAGATAATAAACAGACAAGAAGATATGAGGAAAACCAGAACAAACCTTTAAGTCATGTTGCCTTCATCAACAAGGAAAGAGTAGCTAATGAGAAGGACTGTAAATATAAGAACATTGGAAAAATAGTTCATATAAACACACACCTTGTTCCTTCAAGAAAAAGACTCCATAATGATGACTCATTTGGAAAGAACTTGTCACCTATTGTAAGCTTATATAATTATAATAGGAACAATGCAACAGAAAATCTTGATGAGATTGTCAGATATGGTGATATTTTTACTCATATGAATTCTCATACAGAAGTGAATGGTTATGAATATAATCAATGTAGGAAATTTCTGAGTCATAAGCAATCTCTTATTCAACATCAGAAAGTTCATACTGAAGAGAATCTCTATTTGTTTTCTGACTGTGTAAAAGCTTTCTCCAAGAAGTCACACCTCTTTGCACAGCAGAGTATTTGCACTGAAGAAAAACAGTGTGAATGCAGCAAATGTGAGGCAGTCTTCACTCAGAAGCCCCAACTTGCTGCACATCATAGGGTTTATGCAAGGGGAAAACCCTGTATATTCACTGAATATGGGAAGGATTTTCCCCTCAAGTCAAACCATCAGAAAACTCACAATGGGGAGAATTACTATAAATGCAATGAAGATGAAAGACCCTTTATCCAGAAGTCAGATCTGTTTGGATGCCAGAGAATTCATACTGGAGGAAAACCCTATGAATATAGTGAATGCAGGAAAAACTTCTCTCAAAATTCAGACCTCAGTATATGTAAAAAACATCATACTGGAGGGAAACACTTTGAATGTACTGAATGTGGAAAAGCCTTCACAAGAAAATCAACATTGAGTATGCATCAGAAAATTCATACAGGAGAAAAACCCTATGTATGTACTGAATGTGGGAAGGCCTTTATCCGGAAGTCACATTTTATTACACATGAAAGAATTCATACTGGAGAGAAACCCTATGAATGCAGTGACTGTGGGAAATCCTTTATTAAAAAGTCACAACTCCATGTGCATCAGCGAATTCACACAGGAGAGAATCCCTTTATATGTTCAGAATGTGGGAAAGTCTTCACTCACAAGACAAATCTCATTATACACCAGAAAATTCATACTGGAGAAAGACCGTATGTGTGTACTGAATGTGGGAAGGCCTTTACTGACAGGTCAAATCTCATTAAGCACCAAAAAATTCATACTGGAGAGAAACCCTATAAATGTAATGACTGTGGAAAATCATTCATCTGGAAATCACGGCTGAGGATACATCAGAAATGTCATACTGGAGAGAGACATTATGAATGCAATGAGTGTGGGAAAGCATTCATTCAGAAGTCAACATTAAGTATGCATCAGAGAATTCACAGAGGAGAAAAGCCCTATGTTTGCACTGAATGTGGAAAGGCCTTCTTCCACAAATCACATTTTATTACACATGAGAGAATTCATACTGGAGAGAAACCCTATGAATGCAGTGATTGTGGGAAATCCTTCACTAAGAAATCACAACTCCATGTACATCAGCAGATTCACACAGGAGAAAAACCCTATAGATGTGCTGAATGTGGAAAGGCTTTCACTGACAGATCAAATCTCTTTACACACCAGAAAATTCACACTGGAGAGAAACCCTATAAATGTAATGACTGTGGAAAAGCCTTCACTCGGAAGTCAGGCCTCCATATACATCAGCAATCCCATACTGGAGAAAGGCATTATGAGTGCAGTGAATGTGGGAAAGCCTTTGCAAGAAAATCAACACTAATTATGCATCAGAGAATTCATACAGGAGAGAAGCCCTATATCTGTACTGAATGTGGGAAGTCCTTTATCCAAAAGTCACACTTAAATAGACACAGAAGAATTCATACTGGAGAAAAACCCTATGAATGCAGTGACTGTGGGAAGTCTTTCATTAAGAAGTCACAACTCCATGAGCATCATCGAATTCACACAGGAGAGAAACCATATATGTGTGTTGAGTGTGGAAAGGCCTTCACCATCAGATCAAATCTTATTAAACACGAGAAAGTTCATACTAAACAAAAACCCTATAAATGCAGTGACATTGGGAAAACCTTAAACTGGAAGCCACAACTCCGTATACATCAGAAATCGCACACTGGAGAAGTAGAGTGCCCAATGCCACAGTTATGGTGTGGAGAAGGTGACCAAGGCCAACTTTCTTCTATCTAGTCAGAACTATGAGTATCTGGATCACATAGCTGATGTCTGGTTATATATATATATATATATATATATATTAGATACTTTGAAAAGTGTTTAAGCAATGTGTAGGGGTCATGCTTGGTAACTTGGCAGATACTGGGGTAGTTAAGCCCCTGCAAATAATAGTAATTGCGCAAAGAGATGACTTGCAGTCTTTCTTGTTTCACTTTTTGGGTAAGCAGCTATATACATTTAGGGCTGTTGGGTTTTTCATGCCCTGGGTAGCAAAACTGTTCAATGTTGACCAAATAATTTCATAATGAGTAGAGTGTTGAGAAAATTGTACATTGTCTAAGCACCCTGAGGACACTGAAAGCAAGGGAAAAGGTAGGAAAATCTGATGAATAATGTAAAAAGACCAGAAGTTTTTGTGAAAATTAACACTGAAGACACAAAGAAAGGACTCTTTTTTTTCTTTTCATTAGAAAGTCACCTTATTTATTGTTTATAGTATTTATTGGTTATCAATAAATGTACTGGTTATATGCTGTTGCAGCAAGTACCTAAGAGGTTTGAAATTGCTCCCAGCTTGTATCCCCAAAGTGATTAAGGATGTATGCGACAGTCACATAACTACTTGTCACCTAAGAACTGGCCCTAAGACCATGGAACTTAGCCACACAAGCCCGGATCTAAATAACAGCATTTTGGGTCCTCAGCTTCATCCACAGAAACCTGAACTTTTTTTTTTCTTTTTTACTGATTCCTGTTTGAAAAGGGGAAAAAATTTAAGAAAATAGGTTTCAAAGCCTGTAATTCTTTGCTTCCAGTTTCATTAGTACATTCTCTACATATTCATTACATACTAGATTACCATAAGGCACAATTGTCTTTCATTTTAGTTTGACTCTTAGAAGGTAAACAGTTAAACATTTGAAAGAGTACTCCTATCCCCTGCCAATCTCTACGAATTAATCTTATTTATGTTTCTCAAATCCTCTTTATGCTAGTAGACTTTTTTGACTTTTATTCTATCAGATACTGAAAGAAGTGTTATAATTTTACAGAATAATTGTGAATTTGTCTCCTTTAGAGCTACTGATTTTTGCTTTACATATTTTGAGTCTTTGATTTTTACATACATTCACATTTAGAATTGTGATATTTTCCTGGTTAATTGAAACTTTATCATTATGAAATGCTTCTTTTTATCTCTAATAATGCTTTTTGCCTTAAAATTTACTATATCAGATATTAATACTATATGCAAACTTTACTTATTAAAGGCTAATATAAATTAGTACACCACTTGTGGACAAAGGGGGAGTTCTAACATTAATTCCATTTATTCTCTTGACTTGCATGGCATTGATGTCATACATTTTAGTTCTGTATATAGTTGACAAAGCCAATCATTGTTTCAGAGTCAATATTCATTTAAATTAACCCACATATTTGTCCTTTCATTACTTTTTTATTACATCCTGTCCTTTGTTTCCCTGCAGAATCATTGTTCTTCTAACTGAAGAACACTCTTGAGTATTTAAGTGTGGGTTTGCTGGTAACAAATTCTGTTTTTGTTCATTGGAAATGTCTTTAATTTGCCTTTATTTTTGAAGGATACTTTTAATGAGTATAGAATTCTAAGTTGGCAGTTATTTTCTATCAGTATTTTGAAGATTCTTACACTTATGGTCTATATTTCATTTTTGTGTTGAAAAGTAAGCTGTCAAAATAATTACCTTGAAAGTAATCTTCTTTTATTTTTCTCTCTCTCTCACCTTTAAAATTTATCTCTTTGTTTATTCCTTTCAACAGTTGCACAATGATATGCCTAGGTGTGATTTTGTATGTATTTATTCTGCTTGGTGTATACAGTTTTTTTATCTATTGCTTAGTGGTGCGTGCACATGAATGTTTGCACATGCATCTTGGGAAATTCTTAGCTATGATCTATTCAAATTATGTATCTTCTTTCTCTTTTTCTGTTTCTTTTAGGGATATCCCTATTACCTAGATCCCCTATTGGCCTGTGTCTATTGAGTATTGTTTTTCTTGGGTTTTAGTGATGTCTTCTCATATATTTTGGTGATTTTTAAATCAACTACCAAACACTATGTATTAAAATTGTAGAAATAAGATGGTTTGGATAATTTCTTCCTGAGAAGATTTGCCTTCGCTTCTAATAGGTGACCAGGCTTGGAACACTAGCAATTCCTGATTTCCTTTATCCAATCATATATTCAGCTTTTTTGAAACTGGGCTTTAGTCTCTGTGAAGGCTTGTCTATTTTTTTTTCTTCACCCTTATTCCTCGAGGATACCATTAGGACTTAGGGCTTCAGGAGGACCTGAATTCTAGTATTTGTGCCTTCAGTCACATGAATTTGTGAAAAATTTCCTGCAGCCTCTCTTCCCCAGTATTTGCCTTAAAAATTAACAAACACCTCTTAGTAATAAACAGTCACAAATTCCAGAGATTTTGTCTTGTCTGTAATCTTATTTCTGCAATTTCTCACTGTCTTGGTAGTTATGTGCCTTCAAAAAATTAAATGTGTTGAATATTTTCTTTAACATTTTTTTAGTTCTGAAAGGGAATACTAGCATGTATCACCTACTTTGCCACTGGCAGAAGTTTTTAATTCATTGAGATGACTACCCCTATTTAAGGAGTCTGCAGTCCAGTAATGTATTTTTTAAATTACCAAAATTACTGATTTAAAAATGAAAATGCTTTCATTTGCAACTTTATCATCATCTTTTGTTGCTTAAAGTCTTAAGGCATTGCTCTTTTTTTAAATACTTTACAAATTTTGATACATAAGAGAAAATTTTATTATGATAGCTGCCAAACTTTAACAAAAGGAGAGATTGGCTAAAAGCTTCTCAGATGTCTTCTTTAATACTGTGGTTTTTCCTTTGTATAACTAATAGAAAATGAGGTTAATGAAGAGTGGTCTAGGCTGGGCATGGTGGCTCGCACCTATAATTCTAGCACTCTGAGAGGCTGAGGCAGGAGGATCATTTGAGGTTAGGAGTTGGAGACCAGTCTGAGCAAGAGCAAGACTCCCATCTCTACAAAAAAAAAAACAGAAAAAATTACCTGGGTGTGGTGGCATGCACCTGTAGTTCCAGCTACTTGGGAGGCTGAGGCAGGAGGACCACTTGAGCCTAGGAGTTTGAGGTTGCTATGAGCTAGGCTGATGCCACAGCACTCTAGCCTGGGCAACAAAGCAAGACTCTGTTTCAAAAAAGAAAAAGAAGACTAGTCTAAGAGCTCTGCAATTTGGAAAATTAATTTAGTAGGATTACTAAACATTTTTATTCTCAGATACATTTTAAAAAATAGAATTCTACACTCCCAAGAAAAAAAAAAGGCAAAAGAGCAACTTTACCTTTTGTCAATATAGTATTAATCTCTAGGGGAAAGGAAGACTTTCATTTGAGGATTTCTTTGCATCTCAAGAGGAACCTGGAATTGATTGAGGAATGAATGATGGCAAACTGTGAGTGGAATGGGAGCAATAAATCTCAAGTAGAACTCTAAGGTCAGTATAGATTGAAGATATGTGGGGTATAGACTTTACTGGGGAAAGTAGTGTGGGTTAGCCACATCCTTTTATGCCAGCATGCTGTTATAGTTAATCTATATTTACAGCAAAACTATTATAAAACAGTTTTACAATTTAAATTTTTTAATAAAAATGCATTTTAAATTCATTTTTCAAAAGGAAATCACTGTGAATTCAGAAAATCTAAGAAAATATGCATTCAAACCAACGTTCAATTATACATCAGATAATTTATAGTGGAGGGTAATGTTCTGTATGGAATATGGGTAGGGTTTTCTTCATAACTCATACTTTATTACATACTAGAGAAATCATGATGGAGAGAAACATTTTACGATTATAGTAACTACAGGAAATCTTCCACTGAAAAGTCAATGACCTGAACATTAGCAAATTTACACAAAAAGAAAAAAATAACAGTTCAAATCTCATTACACATTAGAAACTCAATTTGGAGAAAAAACATACAAAAGTGACTGGAAAGCCCTTCACTTGGAATTTATTAGAAAATTTCTACTATAAGCACGTAATATGGGAATGGCTTCACACAGAAATCAGTTTTAAGTATTTATACATGAATGAAATTATATATTTCCTGAAAGTAAGAAAGTCCTTTTTTTTTATTTTTTGGCTTAAAGAATAGAAATTTATTTTTTCATGATTCTGGAGGTTAGAAGTCCAACATCAAGGTGTCATCAAGGTTGGTTTCTTAGGAGGCCTGTCTCCTTGGCTATAGATTGCCATCTGCTCCTCGTGTCTTTGGTGGTCTTCCCTCTGTCATGAGAAAGTCCTTGCACAGAAATCAGAACCATTTATAAATTACTCATACTACAGAGAAGCCCTGTGCTTATTGTACATTATATATCATATATGGAAAAATCTTTGTCCATGAGTCACACCTTACTGTATATCAGATAAATAATTTAGAAGAGTGGGTATTCTAAGGGTACATCATTTTCTTAAATGCCATAATATTCATATAGCATAGAAACTGTAGGTTTGATACATTGGAAAAAGTCTTCCCATAGAAGCAAATTTCATAAGAAATAGAATTCATTTTGTTTATTGATTTAATTTCAGGCCCATGTCTAGAACTAGTGGGGACAAATAGACTAGTCCAATACTTGCCTTTCTTTTAATTAAAAATATATATATTTAAACACACACACATGCACACACATAAAACTTTGTATAAACATGACTTTTATAATGTGTTTTATGTCTTCCTGATTTTTGTACTTTCACTCCTGGCAACTCCAGCCACATCAACAGTCTGTCAACAGATAATGCTAATCAACTTTATATTTTTCTCTATAATCACGTCACATACAGACACAAGTTATCTGTACACACATATATTAGTGTGTGTTTTCATTGTCTTATATAAGTAGGATCACATACACATTTTTGCATCATTTACACTCAACAGTCACTTAATTAACTAAAAAGAGTCCATGGTGTGGTCATACTCATAATTTTTTCAATAGTTTTGCTACTGGTTATTCACATTTTATCACTAGGTGAAATAATCTTATAACCATCCCCAAGAGGTAGCATAGGAGAGTGGATTATTGGATAGGCACAAACATACTCTTAACTACTGGAGAGTATTTTTTTCTGTAAATTATGCTTTTAGGAGTGGGATTTATGGATCAAATTATGTGTTATTTTAATAGATGTTACCAGATTTCTTTGTAATAAGACTGTAGTTTTTCATATTTCCAAAATTAGTATAAATTTACCCCTTCCCTTTACTAAAAGTAGCTCTTTAACATTGAGAAGTTTTATGAGTTCAAAGTGATAACTGATATTAATTTGCATATTAATATGCCTCTGAATGTGTCTTGGCCATTTGAATTTCCCAATCTATAAATTGCCTTTATAAACCATTTAATCATAAATTTTTCTTTTTGAGTTGTCTTATCAATTTGTATCAGCTTTTTATATTTTAAAGGTAGCGATTTCTTTTAAAGGACATCTATTACTTGTCTCAATTTCACATATATTTTCCCATTCACATAATTTTAATTTTCACATGTTTAAATATGCTTGTCTTTTACATTTTCTGAATTTCTAGGCTTAAGTTTCACATATTATAAGATTTTTTAAGTGTTCTCATGCATAATTTATGTATCTTAAGGGAAAATGATTAATTTCTTTTCCTGGACATGGATAGCCACTTTCGCAGTGGCAGACACTATTGATTTGCTGAACCAACATGCAATCCCAATACTCCTCTCTCACTACTTACTTCATTACCATCATTTGAAGCTGGTAGTGGCCAAGTGACCTGTCTCAGTCCTAGGGAAACAAAACACTGGTAGATATGTTCTGGGAAAACCTTTGCTTTCCTAGAGACAGACAGACTTAGCTGCCGCCATCAATTCTACAATTCTTCCTGCTGTGTGTATATTTCCCACAGCAGTGGTAACCTTCTTACAACTATCATGGAAAGGGCAAAAGAATCAGAAAACCTGGTTCTGACATTATTGAGTCAACACTAGCAGCAACTTGTCTGTAGACTTTATCAACGTGGTAAAAATAAACATTTGACACAAACCATTCTATTTTAGGTTTCTCTTGCTGCAAAAGAAAGTATTCCTAAATGGCATTCAATTTAGCCATTGAAATATATAAACTAATCCATCCTTTTCCTATTAAAATAAATATAAATGTTTAAAAACCTTAGTAAGCTAGATACCTCACACAAATCCAAGTAAGTTGAAGAGATAGCAAAAATTTTACAAGATTTGTAATAAGTAAAAAAGAACCATAGATATTAATATCAATTGATGGGATCAGAAGAGAATGCTACCTATAGTAAAAGACTGATTTCCTAGCAAGACTATTGATCAAAATTGAAGAAGAAATAAAAAACTGGAAAGAATCCCCAAAAACAATGAAAGAAATTATAAATATCACTACAGGACTACCACTTAAAATGTAACCAAGACTATAGGGAAATGTTCCTTAGATAGGATATATGAATAATAAACTTTTATAAAAGAAAGAAAAAATAAATTGGACTTTTCAAAATTAAAAACTCTTATCCTTTGAAAGACACTTAAGAAAGTGAGAAGAAAAGACACAGAATGGGAGGAAATATTTGCAATATATTTCTGACAAAATACTTGTTTCCTGAAAATATAAAGATGTTTACAACCCAACTGTAAGAAGATAGCCCAATAAAAATGCCAAAATACTTGAACAGAGATAATTCATACAATAGGATATGAGAAGATATGAAATGATGTCTCTACTGGCCATATCTTAACATATGAAATGGCCAATAGGTATAAGAAAGGATTTCAACATTAGCCATTGGGGAAATACAAATTAAAGCCACAATGTTGGTCAGGCACAGTGGCTTATGTCTGTAATCCCAGCACTTTGGAAGGCCAAGGTGGGAGGATCACTTAAGGGAAGGAATTCAAGACCAGCCTGGGCAACACAGCAAGACACTGTTTTCAAAATTAAAAATGAATAAAACCACAATGAAATCTACACATTCATTAAAATGACTAAAACTAAAATGATTGACAGCACCAACTGTTGGGAGATATTGAGCAACTGGAACTCATACATGGCAGATAACGATATAAAATGGAACAGAGACTTTGGAAAATAGTCCAAAGTCTTGGCAAATTCTTAAAAAGTTAAACACATAGCTATCATAGAATCCAATCATTCCACTTTAGTATTTAACCCAAGAGAAATGAAAACCTATGTCCATACAAAGGCTAGTACATGAATGTTGATAGCATATTTACTCACTATAGCCTCAAACAGAAACAACCTATATGTCCATCATCAAGTGAATGGATAAAATGTATATGCATAAATAGAAAACTACAATACAACTTAGCATTAAAAACCAATGGACTACCGATAGATGTAACAACATGGATGAATTTCAAAGTCACTTTAATAAAAGACACCAGACATAAAAAAATATTACATACTGTATAATTGCATTTATATGAAATTCTAGAAGGGCAAACTAATGCTGAAGTGATAAAAGTAAGATCAGCAGTTGCCTGGGAATAGGGGCAGAGAGAGGTATGGCCAGCAAAGGGGCACATGAATCTTTTGGATATGACAAAAATGTTCTATATTTTGATTGTGTTGGTGATTTAACAAGTGTACAAAACTGTCAAAATGCATTGACATCTTGAATGTCACAAAATGGATGCAGTTTATTGTTTGTTAATTATATCTCAATAAAGTTGATTAAAAAATACACAATATGACATGGGTGGAGCAAGGGCAATATACATAACCTAAACATTTTTATCCCCATAATATACTGAAATTAAAAAAAATATTTTAAAATACAAAACATAAACACATGGATCCATATCTGAATTTACTTCAGGTTTAAATATCAGATAATTTTATTAATTCAAATCACTCCAAGGTATAGAGAAATACAATGTACCCCAATATATTTTATTATTTTTTAATTGCTTCATTCCAAATATGCTGTCACTCTAAGACCATCATAGAAACTATAGTACAAAATAAGGAACTATTGACTCAAATTACTTATGACCACAGATGCAAAACTCTAAATGACATTTTAGCAAATAGAATCTTGTAGTATATTTTAAAAATTAGTAAAGATTTTATTCTAAAATTTAAGAGTGATAGAATATCAGGAAATTAAAATAGTGTATGATTTTAAATTTAAAAATTAATATATTTATCGACGCTGGCACTATGGTCATGGCGGAGGGGACGGCAGTGCTGAGGCGGAACAGGCCGGGCACCAAGGCACAGGATTTCTATAATTGGCCTGATGAATCCTTTGATGAAATGGACAGTACACTAGCTGTTCAGCAGTATATTCAACAGAACATAAGAGCAGATTACTCCAATATTGACAAAATTCTTGAACCACCTGAAGGCCAAGATGAAGGCGTATGGAAGTATGAACATTTAAGGCAATTCTGCCTTGAGCTAAATGGACTTGCTGTCAAACTTCAGAGTGAATGCCATCCAGATACTTGCACTCAAATGACAGCAACTGAACAATGGATTTTTCTTTGTGCAGCTCATAAAACTCCAAAAGAGTGTCCTGCTATAGACTATACAAGACACACACTTGATGGTGCTGCATGTCTTCTGAATAGCAATAAATATTTTCCCAGCAGGGTTAGCATAAAGGAATCATCTGTAGCAAAACTAGGATCAGTATGCCGTAGGATTTACAGAATATTTTCACATGCTTATTTTCATCACCGGCAGATATTTGATGAATATGAAAATGAAACATTTTTGTGTCATCGGTTTACTTAGTTTGTGATGAAATATAATTTGATGTCCAAGGATAACCTGATTGTACCAATTTTAGAAGAGGAAGTTCAGAATTCAGTTTCTGGGGAAAGTGAAGCATGAAGGGAATCATATAGAAAAATGTACTGATCACATAATTAACATTAATTATGTACTGTATATATATCATTTTAGACACATCAATCATGTATCCATATTATAGCTTCTTCGTTTAGTATAGGATTTTGTATGCTGTGTTTGCCTTTTAAAATGGGAAATACTTTTTAAGTTATTCATAAGCTGTATATTCACTGGTGTGGCACTCATGGTTTTTAAATAAGATTAGTATTATCTGTTTATAATGCCTGTTAATAAAAGAATTTACAGTTTGGTAAAATTGCTGCTAAACAATCATTGGATCACAATCCTCATCAAATAAACCCATCTATAAAAAGATGAGTGAGCTTGAAGTTTCACACAAGCCATTTACTAAAGAGATAGTAATGTTTTCCTTTGATTTTACCCCTGAGTTTAGATATTCTAGAAAATTCTGTAGTACATACTTCCATCTTAACTATTAACTTTCCCAAAATGAGGTAAAAGTGTTTTAAAAATCTGTTTATAGTTTTTGGTATGCATATATGATTATGTGTATATCTGAATATAAAATGCAAATGAAGCATTAGTAATACTTAATCTTACTATGCTACAATAAAGTATATTCCAGGCCAGCATACTTGGAAAGGATTTACCTTTCTGCAACAGTGAACTTTTACATACAAGATGATGATAAGGCACGTAAATAATGTTCCCACTGGAAACCTGCTCTGTCTTCCCTTTCCCATTTCCCTTAACCTTTTCAAACTATGTTAGCTGAGAAGCTTTTCACCAGACTGTGATTTAGTGGTGGCTTATACCTATTTATATTTGTATTAATTGCTTACAGATTATACCTCATATTAGCAATTATATTACACTACAGGAAAAATGTATTGGCATAGGCTCTTGCTTATCTTTGTTTTCAAAATTGTTCTAACTACTTAGAAAACAGTCCTTAAGATAGTTTGACTCTTCCTGTTAGTAATACTAATCTTTTCATCTAACCATCTAGGCAGCATTAGAATTGAAGAAATATTGTAGTATTTATTTTATACCCCCTCCCCACCAAGTTTGTTTGAATTATATGCACATGTGAGATTATTTGCAGTAATACACAGGTTCCCAAGGGTATTGATTAATGTTCATATATTTTTTGGACTTTGTTATAATTCTATGTTTTAAGAAGGATTCAAGTGCAGATTTAACAATCTTATCATCTATTGAAGGCAGTTTTTGATAAAGCACTGGAAGTCTTATTGCCAAACTGTAATGAGGCACTAAGATGGGGTGAAAAAATTGTACATGTCATGAAGAAAATATTTAAGCCATCTCTTGACTAGATTTAATAAATACGAGGAACTTTTTTTTTCATTTATAAGGTGTTATTTTGAAGATGAAAATGAATTCATCTTATTTTTCAAATTTGAGGGAATAATTTATACCATATTATGAGACAAGTATGTACAGCAAAAATGTGGGAAATAGTAGCATAATGAGAGTGTGTATATATAGTTTATGCCTTTCCAAACTTGCCAGTCTTTTGGGCTTTGAAAAATGGTATCGCAGCAGTCATAGTCATTACTATACCCCAACCCACAACTATCTTTTAAGAGGTTTTATGTTCACAGTGAAAGGAATGTTGGCTTTGAAATTATGCATTCATATTAATGTTACTATAAACCAATGGGAATGGTAATTTTTAAATGAACTTGCTAAATATTGGGAGACTAAACTACTAAGTTAATAAATTATATTTAGCAATGTAGCTATCTTTCTAGACAGTGTCTCATAATGGATTTCTGTTGCTTGACTATATTAGTGAACATTTGAACTAAGGCAGTGACTAGCATTGGTGAACTGGCTGATTATTTTGAAACACAGTTTGAATAATATGGTTTAGTGTTAATGGGGAAATAAAATATGACTTTTTTCCTTACTCATTCCATCTTCCCTGTACTGTGTGTTTGGAATTGATCATAAAAATATTTCCGAAAGAAAAAAAATTAATATATTTATATCAATAATTACTGAAAGGTATTAGATTAATTCAGTATTCTTTCCTAATAAAATAGGCATAGTAGAAAACTACTTAAATATAATACTTATTTCCTTAAATGCAACAGCATTTTTTTCAACTTTGTTTTTTATATTGATACATGATATTTCTACATATTTATGGGGCACATGTGATATTTTGTTACATGTATAGAATATAATGATCAAATCAGGGTATTTAAGATATCCATCACCTTGAATATTATGATTTCTGTGTGTCGGGAAAATTTCAAGTCTTTTTTCTAGTTATTTAATATTTTGAAATATAAAATACATTGTTGTTAACTGTAGTCACCCTACCCTGCTATTGAACATTAGAACTTATTCCTTCTATCTAATTGTATGTTTGTATCCATTAACCAATCTCTCTTGATCCCCTTAACTCAGACCATTCCCAACATTTGTTATCTGTCATTCTACTCTCTACCTCCCTGAGATGAACACTTTTAACTCCCACATATAAGTAAGAAAATGTGACATTTGCCTTTCTATCCCTGGCTTATTTCACTTAACATAATGATCTGCAGTTCCATCTATGTTGCCACAAATTATGGGATTTCATTCTTTTTTATGGTTGAATAGTATTCCATTGTGCACATATACTACATTTTTTAAATTCATTCACCCATTAATGGATGTTTGGGATGATTCTATATCTTTGCTATTGTGAATAGTGCTGCAATAAACATGATGTGCAGGTATCCCTTTGATATACTTATTTCCTTTTCTTTGATAAATACCCAGTAGTGGAATTGCTGGATCATATAGTAGTTTTATTTTAAGTTGTTTGAGAAATCTCCATACTGTTTTCCATAGTGACAATACTAATTTACATTTCCACCAAGAGTGTATAAATTCCCTTTTCTCTGCAACCTCCCTAGCACTTTATTTTTTGTCTTTTCAATAGTAGGCATTCTAACTGAGGTAAGATTCTATCTCATTGTGGTTTTGAGTGGCATTTCCCTGATTATTAATCATGGTAAACATTTTTTAATATACCCATTGGCCATTTGTGCATCTTCTTTTAAGAGATATTTATGCATGTCCTTTGCCCATTTATTAATGAGAATATTTGGGGTTTTACTATTGAATTGCTTGAATTCCTTGTATATTCTAGATATTAGTTGCTTGTCAGCTGAATGGTTTGCAAATATTTTCTCCTATTCAACAGGTTGTCTCCTTGCTCTGTTCATTGTTTCCTTTGCTGTGTCGAAGGTTTATATTAGTAGTTTAATATAGTCCCATTTGTTATTTTGTTTTTGTTGCTTGTGCTTTTGATGTATTAGCCATAAAATCTTTGCCTAGACCAATGTCCTTAAGTGTTTTTCTGAGTTTTCTTCCCATAGTTTTATAGGTTTTGGTTTTTTGTTTAAGTATTTAATCCATATAGAGTAATTTTTATATATGGTGAGAGATAGGGACCCGATTTCTTTCTTATGTATATGGACATCCAATTTTCCCAGCATCATTTATTTAAAAGAGTGTCCTTTCTCCAGTGAATATTCTTGGCACCTTTGTTGAAAATCACTTGGCTATAAATATGTGGATTGATTTCTGGGTTCTGGTCCATTGGTCTACATGTCTGTTTTTATTCCAATGCCATGCTGTTTTGGTTACTACACTTTGTAATATATTTTAAGCCAGGTAGTATGATACCACCTCCAGATTTGTTCTTTTTGTTTAGGATTGCTTTGGTTATTCTGGCTCTTTTGTGGTTGCATACAAAATTTAGGATTTTTTTTTCTGTGAAAAATGACACTGGTATTTTGATAGGAATTGCATTAAATTTGTAGATGGCTTTAGGAAGTATGGTCATTTTAACAATATTGATTCTTCAACTCCATGAACATGGAATAAGTTGATTTCTTTGTGTCCATTTCAATTTCTTTCATGAGTGCTTTATAGTTTTCCTTACAGAGGTCTTTTACCTCCTTGGTTAAATTTATTCCTGTATATTTTTGGTAGCTATTGTAAATGGGATTTCCTTCTTCTTTTTATTTCTCAGCTATACTTCATTATTGGTATATAGAAACACTACTGTTTTTTGTATGATGATGGTTTTGTATCCTACAACTTTGCTGAATTTATCAGTTCTAAGATATTTGGGGTGGGGTCATTAGGTTTTTATCATCTGTAAAAAGGAACAATTCGACTTGTACTTTTCCAATTTGGATGCCTTTTATTTCCTTCTCTTGCTGATTACTCTGACTAGTATTTCCAAATAGTATATTGAATAGGAGTGGTGAAAGTGGGCATCCTTGTCTTGTTCTAGTTCTTAGAGGAAAAGCCTTCAGCTTTTCCCCCTACAGTCTGATGTTAGCAATGGGTTTGTCATATATGGTCTTTATTATGTTGAATTATGTTCCTTTTATGCCTAGTTTGTTGAGAAATTTTAGCATGAAGGGATGTTGGGTTTTATTAAATACTTTTTCTGCATCTGTTGAGATTCTCATATGATGTTTTTTCTTGGATCTGTTAGTGTGATATATCGCCTTTATTGATTTGCATATGTTGAACCATCCTTTCATCCCTGGGATATATCCCACTTGATCATGGTGTATTATCTTTTAGATATGACGATGGGTTCAATTTTCTGGTATTTTATTAAGGATTTTTATGTCTATGTTCATGAGGGGTATTGGCCTGCAGTTTTCCTTTTTTGTTATATTCTTGTCTAGTTTTGATATTGAAGTGATCCTGGATTTGTAGAATGATTTGGGGAGAATTTCCTTCTCTTCAATTTTTTGGAAAAGTTTGAGGAGAACTGAAGTTAGCTCTTCTTTGTTCTAATGGTAGAATTTGGCAATAAAGCCATACAGTTGTGGGCCTGTCTTTGTTGAGAGACTATTTCTTTATTATTGATTTAATCCCATTACTCCTTACTGATCTGTTTGAGTTTTCTATTTCTTCCTGATTCAATCTTGGCAGGTTGTACATGTCGAGGAACTTATCCATCTTCCCTAGGTTTTTTAGTTTTTTGGCATAGGAATGTTCATAATAGTTTCTGATGATCTTTTGTATTTCTATGATATCAATTGTAATAACTCCTCTTTTATTTCTTATTTTGTTTATTTGGGTATTCTCTTTTTTGTTTATTCTTGCTAGCAGTTTATCAATTTTGTTTGTCTTTTTTAAGAAAACAATTTTTCACTTCATTGATTCCCCCTTTTTTTGGTCTCTATTTTGCTTAGTGCTGCTCTGATCATTAATATATCTTTTTTCATTTTGAGTTTGGTTTATTCTTGCTTTTCAAGTTCCTTATGATATATCATTGGATTGTTTGTTTCAA